GTCGTCGTCGGGAAAAAGGGAGAGACCTTGTTCTTCGTACGTCTTGACACGGATCAGCCTCAGGAAAAATATTCCCCCCGAACCGATGGATAAGTTCACCTTCCGGAGTAGCGAGATGTCAGAGGCTCGGCCAAACTTCTCGTTCAGGTGACCAGTCTAAGACGGAGTGGTCAGCATCCAGCTCAGGGATCGACGCGTCTATACGCCTTGGCAAATTGGCGGAATTCACGCGTCAGTGCCACGACAGCATCGCGAGGAAGGAAGATATGATCGCGTGGAACCAAGAGGAATTGCTGGAGATCTCGCAGTATCTCGAGAGCTCGAGCAGTCGGTCACGTCGTCGCGAACGTCGGAGATCAGGGTCTGGTCAGCACACTAACTCGAGTCAGAGCTCACGTCGTCGACATTACAGTGGCGAGAACTCGAGCAGCTCGGCGACTTCCGCTGGGCGGAAGGAGTCGCCCATACACGATAAACATTACGATTACTCTGACAGCCCCACGGCCGAGAACTACGGGGAGAAGGATAAATTCTTCGAAGAAGAGTCGGTAGAGTCTGGACCGTGGACGGAGTGTCTGCCGACCGAGCGCTCTGGTAACTGGGCTGTCGTGTTCGACGAGGATCGACAGGAGTATGTGCGGATTCGAGTGCCCGCCACCGAGTCGGAGGCAGAGTTGCTTGGCTCCTCTCGGACCAAGGACAACCCACGAGCGATCTGTATTGATGAGCTGGATTGATAACGTTTATAAAGTTTGACATCGTTGAATTAAAGGAGCATCTTTTACCCCAACAATTTGCTACATGTGTAAAATGAATTTAGTTTTCTGGACGTCAGCTTCACTAAGTAATTGACAAAAGTACAGTAAGTTATTTGATAACTTCTTTTAGGGCTAGGCTTTCGGTTTTGACAAAGAGAGCATCTGCACACATTTTCCGATTTGCGTAACCGGCCCATGTATAGTGAGTACAAACTGTATACAATTTGTCAGCAGCAAAATTTCTCAAGTACGTGAAGTCAAATGAAGTGAAAGAAATGGCTGCTATCACTTGATAGGATAGCAAACAGTGTATTTTCTGTGTACGTGAGAAGGGGGGGGGGGTGATCTCGCGGTGAAACGAGTAGTCCGCGGAGAGAATACCGGCGAGCAACACGTACCATGCCCCAAAGTCAAACTATTCATAGCGTGTATTTACAGAAAACGACAGCAGCGCCAAAGCCGGCATTTCATAGCCGCCCATAGTAAAAAGTGGCAATTATTATCTAATCAAATTAAAAAACAACAAAAAATATTTAATCATCTTATCGATAAAAATGAATGGGTTGCGGTAAAACAGATCAGCTCGTTACCTAATTTTTTGTATGGCTTGCTCATTTTTCATTCTGCAAAATGGACGACACTCTCCCAAAGAAGAAAAAGAAGCAGCGAAGCAACACTATTCGCGAAAAGCGGGACCGCCGGTTCGCATGATGCAAGAGATTAGGGATACATACATTATGGCCATTAATGCAATTAATGGGCGCATTAACACATTCTAATCGATG